ATTAAATAAATACCCGATACGATATGAAGGATGGATTCTTTGCTGAATTTGATGATCTTTCCGGAGCACATCACATACTTAGCTTCGTTTCCATAGCATAACTTGGCGTAATTGCGGACCATATAGTACATAAAGCGACGATTCCGTAAAATCTGATGCCATGTATAGTATTGTGTTCTCGATACTCTTCCAGTAAGGGAATCGATGAATGCAATAGCTGGCTATTACAGTAATATTTTCAAGTTTTGCTGGAGGAGGAAGGTCCAAGCAGGATCACCCGTCCGTTGTTACAACTTCTAAACATTTCACATTACAACTTCTGAACATTTCACAACCATCTATCCCCCCTTTTTGAAGAGGTCTCAACACGACCTCCCCCACTGCTATCGACCTTGTTGGCGGTTGATGGGAGCTCCCTCATACGACCCCCATCGACCTCCACCCTCACCACTATGGCTGTTCCCATAATACTTGATTTTGTGACCAGTCGGCTCACCCCAGTTCCGCCACTTTTTTTCCTGTAAATGACCGGCGAGCGGGGGAAAATGTGTCCAGTGTAACTGTTCCTATTCTCCTGTTTCACGTTTCCTTCCTAACGTTTTCGCCAAAGTCGTCGAAAGCTCCTCCATAAAAACAACCATCTCTGCCCTCCACAGCACCTGACCCCCAGCTTCCATCATCACGACCTCTCTATCTAGGCGACACCATGGTTACCATCGTGAACCCACTAAACCCGTAATACGACCATCCTCTCCGAAACTCCCGCATACAAACTCCCTCTTTGATGGAACGAACCGTTGGCCATGGCTCCGGAACATGTTAACCATTTCACCTCAGGCCCTGTTGGTTACTCCTGAACTGCCATGAGGATCACTGTGATCAAAATGAATCATGCTTTAGATGCCCCTCATCCTTATTGGTACACCCTACTTGTTACCACTGATGTTATAAGGTACGCAAATGCAGTACTTCTTGCGTAAGGAGGCGGGGGGAAGGGGGGTATATGCATTTTACTCCCAAAGTCATATAAAAAAATAGGCTATACAATGACTTCAACAGATTCAAAATCTTTCCCATTCAAACGCTTAGTGGATCCGGCACGCAGTCATGTCATAAAATTGAATGATGGCGGATATGTGACGATGACGACATATAACTCTCTAATAGAGAGCAGCACTTAGCCCGAATCACCAGCTATCGATTTTATCGATCAAATTCTCGTCAAAGACTTGTTTCACTGAGCATATTTGTTTTGTTGTATGTGTGTGTGTCATGATGAATTGCAAAGCCGGGAGGCATTCCGGGCCATCTCGGCGCTGTCCCACTCGAAAATGCGTCAAGTCTATTGACATTGGCGAACGATTTCCACATTCACCTGCAATTTTTCGTCGTTAAAACGTAAACACGTAGATAAGTTCGTCCCATTGTCACTTGCACTTCAACAGTCAAACACTCCCTCTTCACTAAACACGATTTTTGCAGCGCTCTTGAACCTTTCTGTAGACCCTGAAACCGCTTCCAAATCAGCAGTAGTTACCCACTTATTGTAAAATTTCCCGTTTCAGGCCTCTTTGGGACATGAACTAAGTGTTTGGCCAGTTTCAATGATACATCATGAGCATGATTTTTCAGAAACGAACCCTCCGATCGTTATTGATTTCTTACATTTTTTACATTATTGATTTTATATTCATATTTTCTTCCGTGTTAACGAACACTTCAGCAAAGCACTTGCTTTCCTTGAGTCAATAAAAGTGCAATGGAAACATGAATACTCTTTCCAGATCTATGACATTCCTATTTATTTATTCATTTGCTTTTTGAATGTGTTATAGAACACCGTTTACCTCCAGGAATAAGGTGAATCACCAAATAAATAAATACAAAAATGCAACTAGAATATTGATCGTTTAGGTGAGATGAAAAGAGTCAAAAATTAAAAAATTCTTATATTGAGTCAAAAATTAAATAATTCTCATATGCTCAGCAAATAGAAAGCAAGCGTTATTATTACAGCATGTTAGACTATGTTAGTAAAAAATTAAAGGACAAAGGAGAAGGAATTTGGTCTAGACCAATTATTTGGAATGCGCCGCGTACCTTGCATTCATTCAGAATTGCGGTGGAGTTTCGAAACGTAGTGGACTTATGCAATGACCTGCAAGGGCCAAATGTATAAATTGGCATTTGCATCCTCTCAGACCGAATTTACTGCTGAAGTAACCGACATCGGGGTGGACAAATAGTTGGCTTAGTTCCGGCACGGACTACTGCGCCATGCTACGTCATGTGACGTCACTCGAAGCCATGGTAATCCATTCGTTTGGCTGACTAGGACGTGAGAGGTCGCATCTATCGCATTGAGAATAAGGTTACAGATGACGAAATGAAGTCTTATTTTCGGTAGATGACAGAAGGGGAAATTTTGCAAAAACTTCTAATTTTTTGGGGGATTTGGAACATTCGCAAATTCGCAATTCCTTGCTGGTTCTAGCAGTCGTGGGCTACAACCACTTCCCCCACTCCCCCGCTGATCGCGTTAGATCTTCAAACTTAGGTCTGGGGCAAAGTTGGAAATGTGTCAAAACGATGATCTAGTGTTAATGACCATACTGACAGGCGGGTGGGGGAGTGGGGGGGGTCGTATATTTGGAATGGTCATGCGCCACATTGATCCTACTTGAACCTACAACACTTCGGCAATAGATCAGAACTACTAATAAAAATGTCATATGTATTAGAAAATGGATTCCACGATAAGATCGGAGGTCGAAGAAGGGGAGATATATCACGTCAAAAAAGGCTGGTACTTGAAGGTGCAGAACGATGCGCGTTTCGCTGCCAAGAATACTCACCCTCTCGCCGTCTGACTCTAGCCATTTAGCTGAGAGAGCGTTAGCGTTGAAGAGGGCAGCACCGATGAGAGTCGCATCAATGCGGAAATCAAAGCAAAGAAGGGGTTTCATTTCTCGGGTTCTGGGCCGTTTCTCATGGTTTTTCCTCATCCTGCACCACTGACTCCCTCTACCTTGATTTCCAATGATAGGCTGCATTTCTAGCGCAAACTCCTCCAAGTTTACGATTGCTATTTACGCCCGTAACGGCCTAGTACACATTGTAGTTGAACATGGATGATAATGTAAATGTCATCATGAAGAACAATATACTAGTATTCTACAACATCTATGACATCATCTCCAAACAGTTGCTGAATCTGTCCATGTGATTCATGCGAAAGCGTCTTCTTAACGGCAATTTACATACATTCGTAATGTAGTACGGAACGTGCTCAGATTCTCTTCAGTTGCTGCCTTCTCAGTGTCTGACCGCTGGAATTGAGAATTCGTACAGGTGCTATTTTCAAACTGGTTGTCTTCTCTTCAAATCTACTAGAACATCTAGACTTATTAATGTCCTCCTCTAACATCTAAGTATATTCCTGTGAGGCTTTCACTCCAGTCTTCTCACCATTTTACTTCAATTATGTTGTGCCGTTTTATTTTAGCCCTAGAGGTTAATTTCCTGCCAACTATAAAAACCTGGGTGGTCTTTGTGAGTCAATTTCTGTTTTGTTCCGTTCCCGTTAAAACCCTTCCGTTTTGGATATTGTTACATGTTACATGTTATATGCATATTCTCCATCTAGGGCATTTGCGTAGCGGAAACTGAACTATTTCGCTGGACTCCTCAACTCAAAACAAAAAAAAATCCAAAGGCGAGATTCTATTACAGGAGCACCTTCCCTTTCAAAAAACAGGAAGGGCGTCGGGTGCAGACCATACACCATAAGTGACGACGGCCTCCAAAAATGTGTAAATTTTCCGCAGTGCAATAGCCTGTTGCAGTTGCATTCTATCAGTTGTCACTAATTACAGCTACTGAGAAAATGAGTTTATCTTACCTTATTCCATTCCAAATGTTGATTGTCTCTTTGGGAGCAATCCTACTGTAAAAGAGGTCTACAGAGAATTGGCTTGCTTACGTAGGGATAGTGAGTTGAGCGTTGAGTGTTGCTGTTCCTCGACCTGGAAGATTTTGTTGTCACCACCAGCCATCCGACTAATTAGCCGGTTGCAGCTCAACGCGGATAAGCTCACCTCGACGGGATTCATTATCATCAGTGTACCCCTATTACTTACCTGATTGGTATTAGTTTTAGCACGCATCCATAGGTACCACTCATATTTCAATACATATTACCACAGCTTCCTGTTCACCATCGCAGCAATTTCTCTGCTGGAAGTAAATGTTCGAAAATAAAGGCGAGAACATTTCACTTGACAACATCTCCAGCTCAGTTGCCTCTATGCTCTATGATGTACTTCTCTACTTTTCCGTAATTCGTTCCTTTTTTCGCGATAAAGGGCGCATTCATAGTCGGTCATCCGATCCTAACGATCGCACAGCTTTGATGCGCATCGATCGTCAGACGCGTCCGATGACTGGACGATCGATATGTATCCAATGCTGTGTGATTGTGGTAATCAGACAACTTACTGTGAATGCGCCCTGAAAGCCCTTCGATCAAATCGGGTCAAGAGCTAAAATGGTAATGGGGGTGCGCGGCAGTTCTCGGTCAGGTCACTTAAAAATGAGACACCACTCATATGCTCGAGGCAGAAACTAAGCCTCTGTCCAATCATAGGCTTGAGCCCATGTGTAAGCATAAGCCTGAGCCTAAATCTAAACCCAAGCCGGGTCTATTCCAGTTAGGGGGGGGCATCATGATGCAGTTTCTCGGCGAGCTAATGTAAACTCGAACATTCCAGCTTTTCACGCATGTCAAGTGACTGCCCTCACCCCCACCCCCTAGGCTGGCTACACTCCCCTGGCTCAGATGCTCATGATGCCCCCCCCCTAACTGGAATAGACCCCCCAAGCCTAACCATAGGCTCCAATGATCGCTCAACTCTGATGACCTGACCCCAGGAACAAACTGAACGTCTCCCGAGTAATTGCCGTAGAACAATTGCAGACAAGCTCAAACAAAACTTTCAGAAATGCTTCTTCCGACGAACAAGCCCACGACAGCGCTGATTCTTCGTAGCCGAATGAAACGTAAGTCCTTGCCATTTTTGGATTTCTGTGAATGGCGTCAAATACGGCGCGTAGTCTGCAGCTCTAGCGCCAACACGTTGCACAAGCTATGCCACGGCTCTGGCGTGCCGCGAAATTTACTGCGCTTGATTTCTTTTTCTATTGGGGAATTGTTGTAAGGAACAGGGTAGCCTGCTCGCAATCGATAACGGACTGATTCGTTGACATATCACGTTTTCATGTCCTACCAGCTCTGTCGCTATAGAAATGAGATTACATTTTGAATAGAGGGTTTCGTAATATCACTGGGAGGAAAGTCCTCGCCACTGCCGCTGAGCAGGCAGCTATCCGCCCTAGTTGTACTCTTGTCTTGCGCTTAGTCGAACCTCGCCTTGCAGGTGCTTGCCTTATGAATATTCCGTCAAATTCCCAGTTGAATAGTGCACATTTATCCCGTACTGCCCCTTCGCTTGCCTCATTTCTCCTGGCATCTTTTATTCCAGTATAACAACGTTTTATATTGGTAATTCGATGTAGTTGCTGTTGTGGACGCGTTGTCTTTCAGGTCGGTACCTCCTCATCGATTGGCTATGGCGTAAAATGGCTTTTCTTAAGCGGAAAAAAGTCAAGTTCAGCGTCGACTTGCAGGTGCGCATCGTTCCGTACTTTGCCTAATTTTTTTTATGTTTTCTTGATCTGGGTGCCTAGTTTTCAAAGGTGGTATTCATTTATTTCTCTCTTATTTATTTACTTTTTTTCATTATACTTCATGCGTCCAGTGGACACGCTTATTAGGCGTAGAAACATAATTTAAACAGAAATAGCAATAGCAAGCAAGAGGGCAGCAGTTTTAGTCAGTTGTGGTCCTCCAATAAGCTACGACTGGTACTTATTTGTTATATAACATCCCCGATTTCTCATTAAATAAATAACATAGGTAAATAAATGATTTTCTTATTAAATTGATGGCGCATGCAAGAAGTGTAGAACTGTTACTTTTTGTTACTCTACGTATTCTCATAAAACTCGCTGATGCGTGCCATCTTGCGATCAATCGGTACGGGTTTTTTTGATCAACTATTTGTGGGTTTTATTCTAGGTATGCAATTTGAGCGATGTGCCACTGGTAAACGCGGTCCTGTTCGCAAAGATACGACTGTTAGAAGGAGGCACGTTTGATGATTGTACTGAGCGTGTTGAGGTGGGCTAATTCTTAAAAAAAATACTCGTAATCTTGTTTCATATTGCTTTGTTTAATTTTAAATCAAGCTACTAGTTGAATTAAAGGTGGTTCGCAACAGTTGTTCATGGTCTCATCGCTCGAATTTCTGTTGTCGAATAACGTCGGATCCAACCTCTGGCATATTGGAAAGATGTTTATGTCGGATTTCCATCAGAAAAGTGAGTTATTTCAGCGTGTTTTACCTCTTCTTTCTTCGTTATCGCCTTTGTAATCACTCAAATCGATCGTGCACAAAATGACGGTTCTGTAACTTCTCAACGCATCCTTTAATCCTGTTTTTTACTCATATTCCATAAATTGTTATCAGAGCCCTTTATTTGTGTGTAACAATTGAAGCAATCTTCTTAGGAACAGAAAGGAGGCAAATCTTTTCTGAAGCTCGGATTTGTCGATATTAATCTTTCTGAATTCGCTGGGAGTGGTGTCGAGGGTGAGTTTCTCAGAATGTACTTCAGTTTTTGTGCTTGTGCTAATATTTCTTGCCCTTCGCTATGTGGCTACCGAATTCAATATAACGTGAAATATCATTCCTTTCTTCCTAGGTTGTTGCTCTTTGGAGCTATTATGAGATTGAGTTTTTGCCTACTCGTAGGCTTTTGCATGCGGAATTCCTTGAAAGCTGGTTGTCTTATATTTTCCATGTTCTGCAAGAAGAATTAGTCGTACTGTCAAAGTATAAGTCCTTTAAGGAGTTTTGAATATAGTCGTTTCATGTAGCTCGATCAAACTCACAAGTTGCTCATTTTGAGGTATATTGGGATTCAATTTCTGTAGTTTTTTGCTACGAGGACGTAAAGGCTTTTCGTTTGTCAAGTTCTAAAAGTCTAGACCATCCAGTAAATGCTGACCTTTAAATGAAAAAAAAATTGTAAAGAATAGTTACGTATCACGTAGGTTGTGGCGCCACATATGCAGTTCATTTGCTAATTTGTTCCAGCGATTCCTAAATGAGCCAGCAGACGCAGAGTTGCTGTGGTGAAGTGCACAAAAGCATTAGCAGTGCAAAAGAGCATTTTAAGGGCAACATGCAGTCTCTGATTCCCTAGAAGTGAACGTGTTTTGACTTTCTTTCTGTGGATTGAGGGTCTTTGAGAATTTTGTGGCTTGCCATAGTGGCTCACGTTTGTGAGAATTCCCTCTGACTTTAGTGTTTGTGCGGGACGTCTTTTCTTCTAACAATGCTTCTAATGGCTCTTTCATGGTATACCCAAATATTGTTGATCGTGCAGCTCTGTTCAGTGTGGAGTCTGTTAAAGGCTGTGTACCTTTTTTGAGGCATGTGCCCGTTTAATAATACCGTTTCGATCAATATGTACTGTACCATTCAAAATCTCAAAAAAATGTCATAATAGCAAACATTAAAGATGACATTGTAGTCTTCGTCATCGAAATATTAATTTTTTTAGGTATGACACGTTCCTATCTATTAGACGGCTACGGGTTACATCAACGGCAGGATAACTCGAAAGTTCAGATTAAGATCACAATGACACATCAAAGCGCTGATCCATTCTTTAGAGTGTGAGTTTTTTTTCCTTGATTAGTTCTTACTAATAAATTTCGTTTTCGAGTCCTTAATACTACTGATCAAAGTCGTTTTTGTTTGTTTTACTGAACGCTTTCTTTTTTCTTCTTTTTTTCGTATTTGATCAGTGTGCTTTCCAATTCGCTCGGATCTGATTCTTGTTTGCTTGTGTTTTGCTGAAATGCTCGCTATTAATTCCATGTTTCTGTAATTTTATTTTGGACAAATTTGAAGGAAATGGAACCAAATTACACGTTCACTGATCACAATTATGTTGTAGGCCTTTTATCGGTGGAGCTGACACGATTGAAGACAGCTCATTAAATCCATATCTAAAAGCATCAGATGTAGAAGAGGACGAGGATGAAGATATAGCCGGTTCATTTGTGAAATTGCGAGCGCAAGCAAATACCGATGCCCCCGGTGCGTTCCGTTTCATTTATTCGGCTTATCTTATGTGGAATTCTTTTCCTGCCTCGATGTTTTACTTCAGATGTTTAGCTTTTACAAATATATTTATATGTTTGTCGAATTCCCGAAAATTCGTTCGTCCTAAGATGTTCCGCGCTAAGAAGTGCATGTGATTCTTCCTCCTCAACTATTTACAATAGCTTAACCTTTCCCATTTTTCTCAACGTTCCCTAAAATTTCAGCTCCAAGGTCCAGTGTATCATTTTGCGTCCTCATTCGCCATAGTGACTCCTCTGTAGCAGACACTTGACAGACCCTGATCAATCTTCTTCAATTGAAAATGCCAAACTTTAATCTGCACTGGCTGCTTCAGTGAGCGTGTTTTTATTAAAGCCGCAAATAGCCCGTCATCTTGGCCAGATGTCCATCAATCAGTTTTTTGGAAGACTCTATTCATTCTCGGCCGCGCTCGATAGCTTTTTTTGTGTCCGGGAAGCATTCCACTGTAAAGTTGGGACACTGCTGGAGCGATAACCTCCTGAACGATTAGCTTCTTCAATGTATGTCCTTCTAATTGTGAAAATGATTGCGTTTTAGAGTGTAGCTCGATGGCCGGATCGTGCTCGGTACCCGACGAGTGTGCCTCGATGTCGTCAGATAATCGGAGAAATGCACCATCGACGTTGCGGAGACTCAGCCAGGACAGATCTAGTGCACCACGAATTCAGAGCACAAGGTTAGGGAGTGTTTCTATGATAAGTTGAATACAAATGATACAGGCGTGTTTGGCGGTTGTCGCAGTCGTCGCAAGTAGATCATTCGAACACGCGATGCAGTGGATGATATTCCAATGTTTTTTTTTCTATTTTAAAAGTGGATGCGATAGAAAAGTAACAAGTTCTGTGCTCTGTTTTTCATGATTTTCTCTACTTAACTGGTTTGTTTTTCCGTTATTGTTAATGTGGGGGATTTCAAGGTCGTTCAGGTTACGTTTGGTTCCCTTGCTCTTGCGATTATTCAGTTCCTTGGATAGCCGAAAAATCTGTTGATTTATTGGGTCTAGAAAATGTTTTGTCGAGAGCTTTCGGACCATTTTGGAGTTTTAAATGTGCGGTTTTTTTTGGTAAGTAGGGTATCTTCTAGAGAAGCCTGTCCCATGAAACTGCCATCTATTACACTGACGACTGCGCGGGAGACATATGTCCCGCACTTTCGCACGTATAAGAATCGTTTGGCTCAATTGCCTCCGTTTTTCGTTCCAAGCTGCCACAAGCAGCAGGATATGGAAAATAGGAAGCTTATTAGCAATGACGCAGTTAAAAAGAAGATGCGCTCACAGCGGCGGCCGTCAACGTGTCGTGTTTCTTTTGGTTTATCACTTGTCGCATGTCCTGTTCCTGCCCTTGTAATTGTAGAAAAAGCAATCGCATGGCCGTCACTTGAATAATTTAAAGCGTTTTCTATGCTGGCACATTGCAAACCACAAAGGATGTTGCTCATGTTTGTGATTGGAAGAAATATTGAACGTTTTGCAAATATATGACGCACTTGCGCGAAATGTTTGCTTTCCAATCACAGCAAGGTGCATAAAATGGGGATGCAAATCAGATGATTCAGGGCTTCTCATAGCCACGATGTTACCGCTTGCAATGTACAGGTTTTAGCGCTGTCGTTCTAAGAGTCATCCATTAGACGGAGGGATTTTTTGTGCTGGTGGTAAATATACAGGGGGGGGGGGGGCAATAAAAAAAAGACATTTTGTCTCCGCGCTCAGATGGATTTAATCACACTTTGCTCAATTCAAACCGAATGAGCCCAGCTTGGTATTGAAGAGCACATTTCATTCTATAAGAAAAACTTCTTAGTGGCCACCTACGTGGGTGGCACCAGAAAAATTTGCCTCGTAAACATGGTGCGCTGGTAGAGCTCAATGGGGTCTTCGAAGGATCGTGTGAAATAACGACCTCCCCTGGAAGGCGGGTTCCAAAGGGGTTTGCATAGTGGGAGCTAAGGTCTCTAAGAATCTATCCAACGTTGAATCGATTCACGAAATTATGTGAGAGCTTCAGGCTGAAGCAGTTACGGTAGGCCTCCTTGAGCTTGACGACGATGACAGATGACGTCATATTCTGAAGACGGTGAGGGCAGTGAAGGAGGGCCTGCGTCTACTTATAGAGGGACACTTAGGGAATACTCTGCTGAGGAACTCCCGTCAACGACGGCAATCTCTGCGAAGAAAAAAGGCCGAAGTCCGACATAGGCAAAATGTCTTTTTTTTTGGCCCCCCCCCTGTATATTTGACGCAACTTTATTTTACAAAAAATTGCGTTGAATGGCGTTTTTATAGGCATCCAGCATGGATCATACTAGATGTATTTGTGGCAGTGGCTAATAAGTCGTTAGTTTGGTTTTTCGTGACGCTTCCGAGCTGATCTCTTAAGTATTAAGCAGTCGCTGTTGATAAGCCTTTTTATGATGCGCCACGCAATGTAACTTCATTCGAATTCGTAGTGGCATTTGAATCCACGTGTCCTATTCGTGAATTGGTTCAAATGACTAGCTAATGTGCAATTCATTGTTTGGTGGTCCGAAACGAGCCTGGTACCACACGACCAACCCGGGAGCGTTGAAGGGGTAGGTACATCGGGGGTGAATCTCCACAGAACGTGTTTACGCAAGGCAGTGTATCCGTATTATAATTCGATCTACTTCATTAATATTATATTGGATTTGAAGATTTTTCAATGTGTGTCTTAACAGTCATTGAATTCTCATTACATACGTTTCAAATGGTACACTTAACCGCGCGAATGGCTGCAGCCGGGGAAATTACCCACACGCTTCCCAACTTTTTTTTAGCTAACCTAAAATGTCATATATAAATTCACTTAGCATAGTTCGTTGTTGTTTGATCAACCGGATCGCTTCTCTTTTGTTTTTTTTCTGAAATGCTTTGTTTTCGGAGAAAAAAAAATAGTAAAACCTTGTGATGAAAAAAGAGACGAGGCCAACAAAAAGCGTGCGTCTTTTCCGCAAAAGTAGGACTCATTTAGAAGATTTTAGGGTGTTTCATCTATAATAGTGGTGTCTCATAAAGTATTAAGATACACGAAATGAATACGGATCTGAGCTTAGCCGTGAGTGTTTGTGTTCTGCAGTCGGGGCGTGTCCAATGATTGTTCATTGAGTGCGCTGTATGTTGCTAGATGTCGAAGAAATTCAATTAAGCCGCAGAAATGTTCTCAGGATGTAATGGTCAAAGCTTTCTCTGCAGTCATGCGCAAAAAATTGGAGAAGCATTTTTGAGCTTTTGAATGCCTAGATTGCTGTTTTTGCAGGATTGACGCAGGCGGTGTGATAGACCGCATGCTTGCCGAAACTCGATGGCCAGCGAGGGGAGAAGCAAGTGCGTCAGAAGAAGGTTTAGCGTTATACGTGGATCAAGATGGCGCGGCCAGTATAGATCCACAAGGAGCAGGCTTTCAAAAGGTTACCCTTGCCGATACTAGTTCATAGTACTAGGCTATAATCTATCTTGTCTTTTTTTCGTCGCTCTAATCTTTTCTAGTACTTATTGAGGCCCAAACTGAGTCTTTTCTCTCTCGGATTTATTTAGGCGTCTATTATTCAATCTGTGAAGTGATTAGTATTATATTGTATTGATTTCACTTTTATGTACTTGGCCCGGTGACGTGTGTGTGTGCGTGTGTTTTGTTCTTACTCATTAACAATCGGCTTCACAGCTAGCTGTTACTGTAATATTACCGCACTTGATAAGATCACTTGGATATTGAGCAGTAATAAGTGACTGACTCCTTTGACATTTCTCGCACATTTTCTTCTTCAGCATATGTATTCTCGGGTGACTTTATGTGTTCAACAAATGTCATTAAGTTTTTTCTCTTCTTTGTGATGCGAAAGGGTGAATAAATAGTTCTACTATTCAATGGAAATTGAGGTAATGAAAATCTTCCTGCAAGTCATCAAAGTTCACAGCCCACTCACCGCGTAAAGTTTGCAGGTGGTTTTTGGTGCTCATCTTTACTTGATGGGTTTTGGATCTGAAGTCGTGCAAGAGAAGAGCCGCAGCATTCATAAGCAGGGGTAATTCCAATCCAGAAATTTTCTCTCGAGAACGATACTGAGCTCGGGCTTGTGGTGCGAAAATCGCTAAATTGCTGCTGTGCATCTGTACTCTTTGTAGTATGGAGCCCAGTAAGCCTAACAATAAGAAGAATGATCATTCACAAAAAAGTATCCTCACAAGAAAATTGGCCCTCCTCAAATACTTCGAAGGGTGGTTGGCACGTCCCGTACCCCCGACATCCCAACTAAGAGACGACTTTTTCTGGTTTTCTCCTAATCATATGAAAGTCCAAGTGCAGCCAACATCGGCCGCGACCTGGTGAATATTACGGATGTCCCAACAAGAAGCCATTGTTGGGCTTTCAGAGCAGGATGGCCCAACTGGCTTCCGCACACTAACGGCTAACATGGACCGAAGGCGAGAGGTAAAACTTTGTCCTCAGCGACGAATGGGATTTCTGTCTTCCTAAAATGATGTTGTGGACCCTGTGAAGTGTTTGTCAAATGGGAACCTCATTTTGAGTATAAGATTCCAACAGTCAGAAATAGTGGAAGTATTGTCATGGATGAAGATGTGTCCGACCATTCGGCGATTCCCCAGTTCTAGGTATCCAGCGAAATGTGGGTTGGGCTAAGTACAAGAATAGTCTGTAGAATACAATGCTTCCCTTCGATAGTCAGAACTAGCCGGAAAAGATGGGTTTTCTATCGGGAAATGACCCAATGCAGGCCTACCTCCTCACTGCCGCCTTCCTAAACCCAGAAAAAGAAGCTGTTATGAAGCGACCAAGTCAAGATCTAAAGTCTAATTGAGTTCTACATCCCACGGAAGAAGCTGGCATGTCGCTCAACCCACATTCCAGTTAAGAATCCCACCAAACAATGTGATTTAGTTCACAGTGTGTAGGTTCGACTTAAAAGTCCTAAAATTATTTTATAATCAACTCCATGTCAATAAAAACGGTGCAAACATAGAAATTCACAGTTTCTCATCGAACCAGTTTAGCCGCGCACGATACCGCGCGCGAAACACGACCGAAGAGGATGGACTCTCGTGGCAGGGTTAAAGGGCGTTGCGCTATTATCAACTAAGGGAGTGGTATTTGAGCTATTCGGGAGGAGCCGTATTTGAGGAAGTAGGCAAGGAAACGGAGTTGTTCCTATGTAATTGGGTGACGGGCTGAGGGTGGGAAGTAGAGAAATTCCCGCTTCAACCGCGATATATGCCTCCCCTAGCGGCGACAGACGGACAAACACACCAAACTTCTGCTTTATATATAGAAGGGATAGCGCTAAGCCTTTAATGTGTCTGTTCGAAAGAATTAGGTACTATCTAAGGAACCACCTCCAGAGTCCAGGTCAAGTTTGGGATGGATAGAGAATGAGTCAGGCTACACGGGGCAGACATGGACCATGGAAAACTCCGCCCACAGTGGGCGGGGCATGCGTCGCATTAGGAGCTGCCGGTGGCTGAAGTCTCGAGTTTGGGAATAGGTGCAGCGAAATGACCGGAAAAAGTGTGCAAAGGTTGAACTGAGCCGAAAAGCTGAATCTGGGAAACCCACCCGTTGTGGGCGGAGCGTTCTCTAAAGTTCTCTAAAGGAGTGTTTATTATCACAACATCCCCCATCATTAGTGTGGTTCCCAACCCTATTTTAGCACTCTGCGCAAAACCCGATATTTTCAATCGATATCGATCGATGGCATGTGACCCATTGGGGTTTTCACTACTACTGCAGCCCCCATCAATAGTGTGGTTCCCAACCTATTCGAGCACTCTGCGCAAAAACCGATATTTTCAATCGATATCGATCGATAATCGATCGATGAATCCATTAAGAATCCAACTTCTACGACACTGCCCAATCAGTGTTGCGGTTCGCTTAGCAATTCGAGGCCTCTGCACAAAAGCTATATTCTCTGCGGATATTTCAATGCATGCCCCGCCCACCTGACCGGGCTCCGCCCACTACCGTACCCTTTCTAACCAAGCCCTGCCTTCACCTTACACGCCCTAGGGGCAACTTCGTACCCATCCGGGACGATGCTTTAGATGTCTTATTGGGTCTACCTAGCGTGCCAAGTGGTTACAAACAGACAGACGGACAACACACCAAACTTCTGCTTTATACATAGAAGGGATATCGATCGATGGCATGTCTCGATGGAATTTCGACTTTTACCACGGCCCCAATCAACACTGTGATTCCCGACCTCATTCGAGCCCTCTGCGCAAAAACCGATATTTTCAATCGATATCGATCGATAGCATGTGACCCGATAGAATTTCGACTTTTACCACGGCCCCCAATCAACACTGTGATTCCCAACCTCATTCGAGCCCTCTGCGCAAAAACCGATATTTTCAATCGATATCGATCGATAGCATGTGACCCGATAGAATTTCGACTTTTACCCACGGCCCAATCAACACTGTGATTCCCAACCTCATTCGAGCCCTCTGCGCAAAAACCGATATTTTCAATCGATATCGATCGATAGCATGTGACCCGATAGAATTTCGACTTTTACCACGGCCCCCAAATCAACACTGTGATTCCCGCAGGGTGAATATCGGTCGAGGAAATCCTCGACAGGGGGGTCGTACCTGTTGGGCTGGTCCATGGGGGGGTCGTACTCTTGGGGTCAGTAACAGAAGTGGTATCATGGTGCAGATAGGTAATAGGGTATAGCGCAGCAGAAAATGAAAACATCCGAAAAAAAAACATGATATTAAATTTTCTTTGCAGGTTCAGTCGCTCCATTCCTCCACCTTCATGAGAAGGGCGTATTTGAAGGCAGTACAAAGAATGAAAGTGCATCCCGCAAAGAAGAGTGCCACATGTGCGCACGCGCTGCAAAGGCACCTCCTCCGCCTATCACTCGCTCCTTCTCCCTTAATACCTCGCTGAGAATGACGCTGTTGTTAGGGACCCTGTCGGAAAACGACAACCGTGAAGAAAAAGCGCTGGGCAAATGAAGTTGTTTTTAGGTTACAGGAATAGCACAACACACTATGTCTACTACAATACAGTTTCGTTCGAAGGTCCCCATCATATAACACCTTTCAATCGATTCTGCAACTGTGAGTGGAGGAGGGATGCATGGCTTATACCAATACCAAATCGGATGATGACGATTGCTCCTATTCTTATTGTTTGCGTTCAAAGATATTGTTCTAGACACATTCCGAGTGTTGCCAACGAGTCACACTTGCAATGGTGAATGAGGGAGCGGATTTCCAGGTGGCCGGATCCGACCTCGATAGATCCTCGACGCAATTATCTCTTCAACCAAAAAGCTGTAGAAGAAAACTAAACAGACCATCAGGAAGCGCAAACCTTCCGCTTTCCAAAACTATCTTCCCTTTTTCAGGATCTTACAATATAAGAGAGATATTGCTCTTGAAGTGGCAAAAACTCGCGTGAAAATTTGGCCTCCTCGACATTTACTCGACGAAATTTGAGAGACCCTATCTTTCTGCAAGGAAGGCTTCCAGAGCAATTTCGATGCTTGTTGGAAACGCGAAATCCAGCTCTATCTAACTCTACCTCAAGCTGCTTCAAAGGTTGTGAAATGGAGGAATGCAACCTTTTCATCGAGGGTGTAGATTCGGACGTTTTTTTTTGAAATTTCGGCAAATCTGACCCAGTGACAATCGCGCCGCAGCTGCCGTTGAATCGGCCTTTGATACACTCGGCTGTTTTGATATACTCAAGCAAGAATCAAGATTGAATCGCAACCCCGTGTCTTCAGGATTTCTGTGCGTTTCTGAACGAACCTCGCCTTGAGGTCACACAAAGTTAATGCCTCTTTCCTCGAGTCGATATTTCAGTATGTACACAAAAGTATGCAGCGATGGAAGACGTGCATAGATGACAAGATGAAGCGTCCTTAGCATTATTTTGCAGAATTTTTTTTGATTTGTTTTGCAGGATTTATTTTAATTGAATTAATTTGCTCTGTTAGAGGGGGTCGTGCCAGGATCTCGATTTCGGGGGGGGTCGTACCTCTGCGACCACGTACTCGACACGATTTTCACCCTGTCCCGACCTCATTCGAGCCCTCTGCGCAAAAACCGATATTTTCAATCGATATCGATCGATAGCATGTGACCCGATAGAATTTCGACTTTTACCACGGCCCCCAATCAACACTGTGATTCCCAACCTCATTCGAGCCCTCTGCGCAAAAACCGATATTTTCAATCGATATCGATCGATAGCATGTGACCCGATAGAATTTCGACTTTTACCACGGCCCCAATCAACACTGTGATTCCCAACCTCATTCGAGCCCTCTGCGCAAAAACCGATATTTTCAATCGATATCGATCGATAGCATGTGACCCGATAGAATTTCGACTTTTACCACGGCCCAATCAACACTGTGATTCCCGACCTCATTCGAGCCCTCTGCGCAAAAACCGA